ACCATTAAGAATGTTGGAAACAAAAAGACACGTATAACACTATGTGACCTTGGTTAAAAGAGGTTTCAGATAAACTATGCCAAATTAGAAGGACTAAGGCAAGAAACCAATAGAAAAGAGATTAACTAAGCGTCACTCTTATGTTCACCTAAGTTTCATTTCTTCACCCTCTTTGAATGTGATGTAGCTTAAGGTAACCATCTATAGAATTCAAATTACACTAGATGATATTGAATCAAGAACTAAATCAGGTAAGAAAGATACACTTATTCTTTTAGTATGCCTTAGGATAGATATCAATTATATATTATATTGCTGAAAGTGTGAGGATTGTCAGTATAATGGAATATATGCATGTGGCTATTTTGTTTAGGGTCTAATTACTATTGTAAATGAAGTATACTATATGAAGCAAATATGCTGGACACGTATGTATCATTTATTTGGGTTTGATTGTTATCATAAATAACATATACTATTTAGATAAGATAGAAAGAACATGCATATATTCCTTTGTTTATGTTTGATTGTTAATATTAATAGGGTGTATGTCTAGAAAAATAATTATGCATTTATGTGTTCATATATCTCCTATGTTTAGGTCTGATTGTTAATATTAAATAGGGTGTACGGCTGGAAAAAATAATGATACATTTATGTGTTCATCTATTTCCTTTGTTTGGGTCTGATTGTTAATGTTAAGTAAGGTGTATGGCTAGAAAAGCAGTGATGCATTTATGTGTTCATCCATCTCCTTTGTTTGGGTTTGATTGTTATTATTAAGGGATATGTGTAATTTGAAATTGCAATACTACATCTATATGATCATTTATCTGCATTGTTTACGTGGATGAAAATGGAGAGTCAAGCGACAATCTGGCACAACTATGGAATGCTTGTGTCCAGGCTCATGAAAGAACCTTGGGAGTAGTAAAACGGAGATGGCCCAATAGTGTGGACGAGCTCACCGCAGCCAAGCCACATCGCCAAAAAGCCCTTACTAATCTTGACATGGGCACCCATTGCCAAGGTCGTGGCAAGTCCATTCCTAAAGATTACCTTAAAAGTATGTGTCGAATGACAAGTCGAGAATGACCTGTGCTAACTAGTAGGGAATGAAGTCCTTCAACTACCTTGACTAGAGGGACGATGAAACCTTGACAAAGTGTATACTGCGAGGGAGATGCATTGCATTTCCTTGAAATTGTCCAAAACTATATGAATGTGTGATATAATTTAATAGATTCTTGAATGGTAGCATTATGAAAATGAATTGAAGGCTTTGTTTGACTTGATTCAATTCAGTTGTTGTATTTATAGTATGGATTGTTATTTCTGTCTAAGACTCACCCTTTAGTTTGTTTCTTTTCTTTTGGCTCTTTTTGTCTTGTTTTATATGTATGCATTTCAGATGTGCACTGACCGAGCAAAGATCTGGGTGCTGGATAGCGAGGAGGAGATCTGACTGTACAAGCCCAGACTCATCGACACATCTTTCGCAACCTAGTCACCACGGGCGTGGGACCTGTAGCTGATGAAGGGTAGAAGCTCTAATGGAACAATAGTCTTTTGGCTGAGATCTTCATTTTATTATGAGAGACGGATCACCACTTGCCTTTTTCCTCTTCTATCTCCCCCATGAGACCTCCAAACCAAACACCGCCTTTTAACCCTCCTAGAGACCTTGATAAAGGAACCCTGAACCCCTATCTATTCCCGGACCGGAACCTATTCCAAAACCAGAGTGGAAGGATATGGTTGTTGTTGAATCCTCTATCTGATCTGTACCTCGCCACCCTATAAGAGTTCCTCCTTTGCCCTCAGATGAAGCGGTACCCTCTATAAGACATCTATCACCACTGTACCTCAATCTGCATCTCGTTCACTACCTCCTACAATTGGATGGATAGATAGCAATAATAACATGCCACCTTCACTCCAACCCTAAGCGGGGAACGGTCCGCCTTCCTCTAATGGGATGGAGTCTGACCACAGTGAAGATTCACTCCCATTAGAGTACTTTATGTAATTATATTGAGTCATGGATTTGATATTGCTCATAGGATAGGTTCATTTTTCTTATTTTGGGATACTATACATTAGTTACTTTTGATATAAACTTGTTTGAGAGTTTAGTTTGGATGGATATGTTTGAGCTATTACTCTTTTACAATTATATGCATGTACTTCCGCATTACATTTATATCCTTGTATGGTTACACTTTCTGTATGCTCTGTTCCTTTTGACATGGTTAATTATTAGTGTGGATCCATGTCATTGTGTAATGCTAAAACTTGATTGAGAAATGAGAAACAAATTCTACAGGGATTTCTATTAAGAGTGGTGATGTTCATAGATGCTATTAATTATGAATAAAGGAGAACGATGTGGGTTGAAATCCTCGTTTTCCTAATATTGAGATGGTTGATTATTCATATTTACCATGATTTGGGTCCTTTACTGGATTGGCAGAATTGGTTTTGATTTAACCAAAAGAATGTCTAGTGAATGTAACATTTTCTTGTAATCACTAAGACATGCTATGAGTTAAAATTGAGGAAAGATCCGCTGACAATAGAGTTTAATAAATTGACCAAGGCAATTTGTGGGATTTACTTCATGTATCACTTAAATACTTGATGTGAAATATAGATTATGTGCATTATTATAACGTTATGCACGTTAACTCTCTTAATTGCTGCATGTGATTATTCTTGGATATGATGTGTTGCTCTACTCCCAGTAGTGTTTTAAAGTAGTAATTAGGTCATGACAAACAAAATTCAGGAAAGAATCGTGTATTATTAAGAAATGGCTCTTGTTGGGGAATTGATACCCCCCTCCACATTAGTGCATAATGTTTTACAACAAATTCTATGGCAGTCCTTATCAGGTATTTGAGAGATCTCTCCTAGTCCAATTTAAGTGATTGACCAAGATGTCTCTCACTTTCCTTTCTTTCTCCTATTTATTCTCCACTTGTGATTATTGTATTAGGGTTAATTATTAGTTATTATGTTCTGATTTGGAGCTAGCTCACCTTTCTTTTTCCTTACATATCGCTTCTAATTAGAGGTCTAACATAAAGCTTATAATATTGTATCATTAACTAATCACATAAAAGGGCATGTGAATTATATTATTGTTTATTGTGTTTCTTCTAATAATTTATTGTTTAAATTTGATAAACAAGAATGTATTATCTCTTGGAATTTTCCTACCCAAAGATAAGTTGAAAATAAATGTGGATGGTTCAGTAAATATGCATGAAGGAATTGTTGCTTGTGGTGGACTAGTTTGCAATGTTCAAAGAGAATACTTAATTTGGTTTTGTATCAAATTTAGGTCCTTATAATACTATAATGGCTGAACTTTGAAACTTTTTATGAGATTTTAGGTTGATTAGAGATTTTCAGTTTAAAAATGTGAATGTTGAGATAAATTTTTAGTTAACATCCATAGTCAATGTTGTAGAATAATTAGTCTATATCCTATATAGAAAAACTAATAGGTATGCTAATTTATTAATAAATTTAACTTTTAAAGAATTCACATGTTGTAAAGTTATTCCTCCTCCTAAGATTGTTTCTATATTTAGGGAGGATTCTTGTAGGATTTATTTTCCTACATTGATCTTGTACTTGGTTGCATTTTTTTACTTAGTTTTAAGCTAAGCTTCATTTCAAATGTGTTGATTTTTTGTCAGATAAATTGATAGTAAAATGTGTTTACTTTATATTAAAAATTTGAAAAATGTTATGAATGAATATGAAACGGAAAAGAAAAATCAATAAATAAGGTGGAACAAAAAGATGAAAGAGAAACAAAATATTAAGTGGGAAAAATACAGCATTTGTTATGTGCCTAAATCATGTTTAGTTATACCATGCTTAGTTGAAATTTGGTGTATGGGAACTCTTTTTATCTCTTTCCTAGAATTAGAGGTATATTTGTGTTAAGCAATTTTTTATATTTATAAAACAACTATTATTTCAGTGAAATATAAATAATCCTTTTAAAAACAACCTACACAGTCTACACAACCATTACACTTATTATTTGATAGGTGATGTGCAGAATGATGTAGTTTGCTAAATAAATCTGCGATGATCCCCACTCCTTTTCTCACACAATTTGTTCTTGCATTTTATTTTTTATTTTATTTAATGCTCTAAGTTGCCAACAACTTTCAATCAGCAAAAGATGGTACATCACATGTAATTTACAAGGTACAAGAATATTGACTTTGCATTAGTATGACTTGACTTTGGAACAAACAATTAATTGAATTCTATGTTCACCTTCACATTTGTTAATAAAACTATTTGTTGTAACTTTAAATACTACCAAACTTCTTCAGTTTTAAGTCGGGTGAGCATTGTAGTTGTTAATGTTAAAAGCAAACTGCTATACTTATAATTTAATTCCAAAACAAATAAGAAAATTCATTTTTTTCTTTTCATTATTTGTTGAATCAAACATTGAATTAACACTTTCTTTTCACTTTCTCTTTCCATTATCTTTTTTTTTTTTCCCTTCATCTTCTTTCTTTAATCTTTTTTCCATTATCAAACAAAGGGTAAAGTAAAAATGGATGCGAATATCAAATCACTTGATAGCCGAATCGCAGCACTCATTTAATTGGTCCCAAAATCTTGAAATAGGATTTTGATAAGGTACACTTAAAATGCACCCCTTGCGCTCCTCATCTTTTTGTTTAAATTTAAAACATTAATACCACAATAATGTACAAAACCAAGATCTAAGCAAACCCTAAACAACGTAACGCCTAGCTAAATTACTGTCAAATTTTGTTCAACTCCCCTCGAAGTGAGATCTATCGTGCTAACTTAGCCCTCCAGTTATTTTTCTTTAAAATTCTTCATAGTTATACTTAACTATTAAGATAATATAACAAATCAACCAGATCACTCAAGCTTTAGCTGTTTCAGTGCAAGAAACAAATTCATCCAGATGCACAACTGAATCAACGAATATGAAGTTCAAGAGAAACCAGAGCAACTTTTTAGGCAATATCATATTCAACAAGAAATAGTATGGAATGATGCAAATTACATCACTGACAACAGCATACTTATTACTGCAAAAATGTTACAAAAACAGAGGGGTCCATAACAAATAAATGAAAATTGACAGCCAGGGCAGCCATCCAGAAGCATACATGATATAAATTTGAACAAAACATTATGCCGGACCTCCCATGAAGTTGAAATTAAGCAAAAAAACTAAGATGAACTAATAGCGGTTCCAGTAGGTTCTGCGTCTGAACCAGTTGTAATCAGGCAAACGCTGAACAGGTCCCATGGCAGCAATAGCAACATCCTGAAAGAGAAACATGACACGACCATAAATTCCAAGACATGACACCACTAGGAAGTTACAAGGAAAAGAATCGGTGTTTCTACTACTAATTAATAAGATATACTTCAGTCATTACCTTGTCATAGATAAATCGGTTTGCAACCCGTTTAATGGTACTGGCATCAACAGCATCAATTCTAGCAAACAACTCAGCAAATGGGATTCTTCGACCATATGTGAGTAGCTGAAACATGGACAAATAAAATTATGAAATATCTCATTCTAGTGATGCAAATATTTTGCAACAAACAGGCTTAGTACAAAATGAGAAAAAAAATTGTAATCAATTTAAGAGGGTATTAGGAACATTACAACATGACAAGCTTGCTAAAAGCAATGGTTAAGGAATTGAAAATAGAAAATTTTTATTGGAAACCACATTAGGATGTATTTGAAAATCACAGGGAGAGGTGTAACTGACAACAGATTACCACTTTTAATTCTTCAACCAATATCAAGGCACTTGACACTGGTTAGCACTAGCCATTAAAAAAATAAGTACACTTGATACACAATCTAGCCAAAACTCTTCATTGAGTTCATTCTTTGTTAAATTTATAAATAATAAGAATCTGACCAGTGGCCACAAATCCCATGATAACAAAGTCATTTACTAGTATCAATGGAGATGTTATTCTCTCCTATGTTCCCATGCCTATCCAATAATGGAGTAAAAAACTATTTCATTTTCCAAATTTCTAACATCTTCAATTGATAACATTAATACAGAATGTTGCAATTGATAGGCCATTTACAAACTTTTGAATAAGTAATCATGCCATATAAGTACCTTTTAAAAACTTCTGTCTATTACTAGTAAGTATTACATCATCATCGACCACAATTCAGCTTCAGGTCATTGTAAAATAGTACAGACAGAATAAAGTTTAAAAGAAATGCTTTCCAATGTCTCTCTTCTATTAATGTAGCAGTGTGGTGTAAAATATATTGTACCTGACGGCCAATATCTTCTGCTACTGGGCTTGTTCCGTCTATGTGAAGCAGAAGTGAGGATTTCAGCTGGAACAAAAAAACAATTGTAAGTGAATACAGAAATAAGAACAGGAAACAAATTAATTTGAAGTACAGCAACATCAATATTTTTTATGATAAAGTTGATGTAAGAAAGCAATAAAACTAGAATAACACATCAAATATTTAAGGAGTATGAATACACATCAAACAATCCAACAACCTTTTGGAATACCAAAGGCTATACATGAGCCAAATGATTGTGTTCAAGGCAATGCGTGCAAAAAAAAACCTAATATAAACCTTGGATTCACAATTGTTAACATTGTTTTAGGGGGCAAAAGTCGACTATTACAAATCTTGCTTAAAAGAAAATATAGTGCACTATCATGCAAAATCGGTCAAAAGATATATGGAAAGCATTTTTCCCTCCGCTAGAAAAATTTTGAAGTGCCAAAAGAAAAAACAAGAATATAATATTTCAATATGTTTATAACAGCAAAGCATTACATCAGAAATAGAAAGACAATTAACAAATAAAATGCCAATGCACAATCCCCATCTTCAGGTTTTGCTGCAGTACATCAGGTCGGCGGTGCATCAGGTCAGCGGTGTATTTTGTTAACTTGAGCAAACTTGAATTGCCAATTAACACACATAATTAATCATGACCCATTGCTTCTATGCACTTGAATTGCCACTGACAGCTCATGTAAGTTTTATGAACTGATACATGTCTGTCATAAATTAATTTAATTTGTATACAAAAGATTTGATGAAGACCACACAATATGCCATCATAAATAAAGAATTAATGACAGAAACAAATCCCATTACTGGTTCCATTTATCTGAAATTTTCATTATTCAAAATCTGCACCAGTATGTCATAGCTCCACATAGTAGTCATGTCCAATCATCGTATATATAATTTAAATACAGTTCATTACATGTAGAATTGAAAGCTTTAAAAAACAAACTACCTCAAGAATTAGAGCAAGGATGTATGAATTTATGTTGGACATAGGCTCTTCATTATACAATTGCATTTATACGAATTATGTAGATGCAATAAGCTAAACTCATCTAGTGCCATGACAATGAATAAAGCCAATTCATAAGAGAAGCTTCATTGTACAAAGTATAAGACAAATCCCATTGTCACATTCACCTACCAAGCCAGGGAATCAATACATCAAGTAGAAGCTCACCTGATTACGAGCACGTGTAACATCATCTTCTGAGACACGGTAAGCCAACTTGGTTGTCTCATACATTATTGCATAGGACAAATCATCCAAGCAATCAGGCTGAATGGACGACAAATTAATGAGAGAAAAAAGGTTTATCAAAGAAATAATATAAGATATGGCAAAAAAGATAAATAAAGAAACTAAAAGAGCCAGGGAAAATAAACATTGTATAAAACAATCCAAGTATACTACTGTTTCAAACATCGAGCTATTTAAATTATCCACTACATATTGCTGAGAGAGACAGTATTAGTCATTATGTATTTATATTTTCAAAATTATCAAAAATTCCTTGAAAAAAAAGGAGTAAAGAAATTAAGTAAAAAAGTATTTCATTTTAAAGAATTGAGAGAGGATAAATGTTCAATTGGCAGTAGCATACACTTGCTACCTTATCCTCAACTTTTCAGGAAAGTCTTAACAAAAGTACTATGCAGGAAACTTCTTTTAAAAAGAAAATTTCAGAAAAAAACCACATTAAGTCTTACCTTAGCAACAGCATATACACCAAAAAGACCTGTGTCCTTATAATTGGTATTGAAAGCCATCATGCTCTCTGCAACTTCATTAATGCCAACTCGTTGTGCTAACTCAGAACTGTTAATAGTTAAAATGCATTCAGTTAAGTCAGTATCAGGAGGAGCATCTTTTTGGGAAGGGGTCAAAGTTGCCTACCCCATGTGTTTTCCACCTCCTGCCGTCTTATTCCAAGAACCCAACATAGCTTGCATGACCATCAGAGCAATTGAATCCGGATCCTTCCAAGATGCCCCTTCAAAAGCTACCGCAAATTGTGCAAGGGGAATATCATCATCAAGCATTCTAACCTGTTTACCAGAGCAAGGAGTGGATGGAAATGATTACTAAATTTAATATCAAAACAGGTTCAGACATGCACATTGCTAAACATAAATACACTTACCTCAGAACCAGTAAAAGTAGCTGGTTCTTTTGCAACTAATTGAGAAGTTGTGGTGGGATCTGTTGACAACTTGGTAAACAATTTTTTCACTTGCTCAACAATATCTTCATGCTTGACAGCTCCAGATGCAGCTATCACCTTGAAAAGCAAACCCACATATAAAACAGTCATCAGAGCAACTTCCACATTAACGTATCAGAAAATCTATATCCAAAATACAATTTACAAAATGGCCCTACCTTCAGAGTTATATTTTACATGCACCAATCACTAACAAGAACATAACACACATAAACATACATCATTAATTTTCTACGTACCATCCTAGGAGCCGTGTAGTGTGTCTGAATGTAGTTCTGCAGATGAGCTTTGGTGATTGTCTTAATGTTCTGAGCAGGTCCAAGAATGGTTCTACCAAGAGGAGTGTACTGAAACGCCGTTGCATGCAGATGGTCAAAGATCACTTCCTCTGTCTGACCCTCAACCTACAAACAGTTTCACACAATAAACCTTTCAGCAAAAGAACAAACCAATCAAAAACCAATTTTGAAGAAAACATGTTACCAAAGAATTATCACAGGGAAAAAGAATAGCCGTTTGGCACACTAATGCACATGCAATTATTTCCCCAAACCATAACAAGGAGTCAATTTCGTAATTATTAGTAAAAACAACTAAAAAATGGAATACCTTTTCAAATCAAACAGGCCCTAATATACAACAAAATTTTCCAGTTTAACTTTGAGTGCATTTTAACAATGCAACAAAACTAACACATTCCACTTAGTGAACACACCAAACGCGGCCATACATGTTACCAAGGAAACACGCACACACACATAGAGAGAGAGAGAGAAGACTAGAAACAAAAATTGGGATGCAGTAATTACCTCCTCCATTTCCCTGAGAATGACGTCACGCTCGCGGCTGATGCGGTTATCATCGAATCGCGAGTTCTGGAGAATGTCGGCGAGAATATCCAGCGCGTGTGGAACATCCTTGTCTGTAACCTTAGCATAATATGTGGTCTGTTCTCTGGAGGTGTAGGCGTTAAGGTGTCCTCCCATGTTCTCGATCTCCTCCTCAAGTTCACGAGCGTTGCGTCTCTCGGTGCCCTTGAAGATCATGTGTTCCAAAAAATGCGCAGTTCCATTGGTCTCCTCAGTCTCGAACCTGGACCCCGCGTCGATCCAGACGCCGACGGTGGCGGTGTGGGCGGAGAGGGTAGACTCGGTGGCGACGCGGAGGCCGTTGGGGAGAGTGGTGACGCGCGTTTCGGGGGCGGAGAGGATGCGCGTGTGGTCGGAGAGGGTGGGGCGGGGGGAACCGTGTTTCAGGAAGCGGGGATCGGGGTTTTCGAGTTGGTGGAGTTTGGACTTGACGGCTTCGGCAACGCGATCGTAGATCATGGCGGTGGGTGGCGGAGGGGAGGGTGGGGAGGCGGCTGAGGGGGCCACTGCGGGGGCGGCAGAGAGGGAGCGGATGGAGTTTAGGGCGGAGGACCGCCGTTCGGAGCGGCGAGCCGCGGTGAGGATGCGGTTGAGGGACATGGCTCCGCGCTCGTGTCTATCTAGGGTTTGTTTGGCGGTGAGAAAGGAATTGCCAATTTATTAAATGGAGAGAGAGAGAGAGAGATGAATTTGGGATGTTGAATGAGTATTCAAGTGCTCGGTAGAGTAGGGGAAATTGAGACTAGAGAGAGAAAGAGTTTTTCTTTTTCCCATTAGAAGAATTTTCTTCTCAATTAAATTTTAAGGCAAATGCTTTCTTTTTAACAATTTTTACGATTTTCCTCTTTCTCTGTTTAATGTAATATTGTTATAAAAATATATGAATTATAAATTATATAGTAAAATTTATTTAAGTTATAATAATGTATTATTTTTAATATTCTTTAAAATAATTAGTTATATAAAACATTAAATAATGAGTCCTATGTCTTATTTCGTGTGACATAATTAATTATATACATTTTATTAAATAATATTCTATTCACTTAAATTTTATTAACAATTTAATGATATATAAAATATAGTATGAGTAACACTATAATTTTTTTAAAATTTAAATATATTTTTAAGTCATTATAAATATCATTAAATTATTATTTAGCATGTAAGGATTGTTTTTCAGCTTAATAAGAACTTTCAAGTTTAAATTTCAATAAATACACGTATATTAAATATTCAGAATGAGAATTTTATTGTTCATAGCGTTATCTTTGGTCTTTACTTGACTAAAACATATTATTAAATTTAATTACAATTTTTCAATTTTTTTATTAATTTTAGTCTCACAAAATTTAAACTTTTTTAAATAATTTTTTTTATCATTATATAATAACGATATGAATTTAGTTACACTATGTCAATAATCATTTTAAATATATGTCATGTCATAAACAATTTAAATTTTATTAACATTACAATTTTAAAAAATAAATCAATAAAAATTAGTTTGAGTAGTAAGTGATTGAATATCACTTAAGTAAGTTCTTTGGTTTGAGTGCTTGTATATGTAAAAAAATTTCAGTGATAAACTCATCTACTACGCATTCAGATAAATAACACAGGTTAATTCAAATTAAACTAAATAAAAAAAATTAAAATTAAAATCAAATTTTATTTTATGTTCAAAAATTTTAAATATATTTTATTTAATATAAATGACATTTAATATCTACACGTTTGTTTGAAGATAAAATAGATCAAATATTTTTACATCATATGCCATAAATCTTAGTGTCAAATTAGGCAAAGTCTATAAAATATGACAATCCCTAACTCAGGAGACTTAGACTATAGTTCATTAAACTTTAAGAATAATAGTAATTTGATCCATAAAATAAAAAAAGTGATTACCTCAAAAAATTATAAAAATAAAAGTAAGTATAAGAATTATATTATTAAAAACTACATAAAAAATATAAAAAGAGAATTAAATTATATTTCTATAAGTTTTGTTAAACTTAAAAGCATTTTAAAAAAATTGTTTAAAAATGATATACGATAATATAATACATTCAAAACTTATGACATACATAAGTTTTTTTTAGTTTATTTTATTAAATTTCTAAATATAACTATCAAAATAAGCTCTTTTCAACTCAATGCAATAAATTTTATTATCAAACTTATGTAATAAAATTTAATGTGATAAGAATTTGTTTAATAAATCATTAATTAATTTGCTTACCCAAACACATCACTATTATAAGCTTTTAAAACAAGTTCTCTAAAATGTTAGACATTTCTCTTAAATGTATATTTTATAAAATATCATTTCAAAATTTTATTAAGATTTTATTTGGATAATTTTATGTATAAGTCATTGTAAAAGAAGGAAAAAAATATAAAAAATTTAATAAAACTCTTTCCATAAGTTAGAATTAATTTATACTTCTTTATTTTTTTAGAATCTAATCTTATTTAATTTCTCTAAAATTTGAAGAAATAAGTAATTTTTAATTTATTGAATAAGTTTTTTTTTTATGTTATATTTCTTCTCCTACAAGAATTTATCCATAAATTTACCAAAACAAGGCCTAAATCTTCCACTACACAAACCTAAATTAGGTAAATGACCAAGTTAAAGAGAAAGTGGCTCAAACATAAAAAGATGTATTCTAGTTCACCTTTTAACTACTTGAAAATTACAGCAAATCTCCAACACTAATTACAACAATTTAAAGTATAACCAAAATATCACATATTATTATTCTTTATAATAGTCTCACAATCCTTCTTCTTAAAAGAAGTCTCCTTAGTCTCATTCACATCCCTAGATGTTTAAGAGCAACAGAGAATAAAAATTTTAATTCTCTTTAAGAGATTTATAGGCAAGTAATGATAGTTAAAAAAAATTTCTTTATTTCATAAAATGAAGAAAATAATAGACTTTACTTAGAGAAATAAGATAAGAATTTGTAGATAACTTTTCAATAATTTTCATCCTACATTTGTTTTCATAAATGTTTATATAATTTCATGAGAGAAGAACATTATATGAAAAAGTTTAGGTAGCTAAGTACACAACCTATTTATACCTATGTTTATGTTACATGCAATTTTACTTTAAATTACTGGGATGTTATCTTAAATTTAAAAAAAGAACAGGGATGAAAGACTCTGTGTTATAAGTAAATTGTTAAGAACTCTCTTAATAGAATTGATTGAAGGCAAAGACTTGGAAGAAGATTAGGCACCTATACAAGATCAACAAGAGCAACAAAGTTCTAAGGGTAGAGATTAAGAGTATGCTTGTTTTCTCTTTTTAAAAATAGTTTTTTATTTTTAAAAATATATATAAAAACTTTTGTTAATTTAAGTTTTTAAAAACTAATTTTTTATTTTCAATTTTTAAAACTAAAAACCAAAGTAACTCTTAGATTGTTTTTGTTCTTATTTTTTCATTTCTCTCCAAAAACTATTGAAAATTAATAGCAGTGTTATAATTAAGAAAAAAAAAAGACAAATGCTGAAAATGTAAGGTTAAAGTTCTTAAACCATCTCATGACACACATCAATTATCTCATGAAAATGTTGAAAGAAACACAAATCATTGCATATGTTTGATAAACACTCAAGTTTATGTCCTTTTCTTATCTTACATTTCTTTTTCATCTTTGTTGATTTAGATTTAGATTTGAATTTGGATTTAGATTCTTACTCATAAGAATCTATTTTTTTCTTATTTTTTATAGTGAACTCTGTGTTTGAGAATGATGAGATTAAGGTAATATTGTAGTGAATGTTTGTATGATAAAGGTAGAGTGTGACAGTAGGTGTTAGTACACACCCCAAGAGCTCTACCTTACACTAGTGTTCAATGGCCACTAAAATGTCCAACAAAATTTGATCACATACACATACATAGTGATAGCATATTGTGATATTCATAACTACATATGGAAGTGAAATTGGAATGATGATTTATTTAGGATATGAGAAGAAATAAATCCTATAGAAATTGATCATGAGAATAGAGATTCGAGTACAGAAGAAACTAGTTTCAATGATCATAATTTAGTCAAATTATTTAACATAGGTTTAGGAATCATATTACAAATAAGATGTGAATATAATATAATAACTAGTTAGTATTTGATTATATATTATACATTTACAAATAGAAATATACATTGTAGTATTTATTCTTAATATACATATTTATTTGTTTTCTTTATAATATTACTTATTCATACTATTTATATTTATTTATTAAAAATTATTTTAATTTTAAAATTAATCATTATTTTTTAGTTTAATATTAATTTATATCTTGTAATTTTTATAATTAATTAAACTTTTTATAAATTACAAGTATTAAACAAGAATGTTTTTCAGTTCAATATTAGATTTTGATGTTTTAATAATTTTTCAATTTAGTATTTTATTTTAAATATAAAAAATATATTTAAGTAAATAAAAAATACTATATCATATATATATATATATAATTTAAAATACTAAATAAAAAAGTAAATAAAACCTAAACACAATTTCTTTAATTTTAAAAATTAAAAATCAAAACTAAATCAAACAAATTCTAAAATTTCTTCTTATTTATTTTTGTTTTTGTTTTTTTTTTTCACGTTCATATATATTTTTGGGCTTGCAATTGAGAGCAATTTTTATTTTATAAATTAAAAGTAACCTAATTATAGTTATATTTTGAATATTTTATAATTTTTATTAATCTTGATTTTCTTTTTAATTATTGATATTTTTAAAAATTTGTTGAATTTCTTATTTGCATGGTAGAGACATGACAAGAACTGAAAGGTAAACATTGGCGTTGGAATTCACAAAGTTAAACTTGATATTTTAATTTATGACATTAAGTTAAAAGTTAAATCACCATAGTTCTTAATTAGTTTAATTAGATATAACTAGTTTAGTAGTTTCTTTATAATAAATATATATAATATAATAATTAAATAACAAAATTTTATATTTTTGTAAATAATTATATATAATAAAATTATTTTAAGTAATAACTTTTTTACAAAATATTTTGACATAACTCTATAAATATGAATAGTATGTATAAAAATAATAAATATTTAAGAAAATTAAATAATTTAAAAATATAATTTATTTTAAATAAACTTTATTGTATAGCGTAAAAAAAAAATTAAATATCAATAATCAATGTATATTAATAACCATAAATTTAAAAAAAGAAACTCTAATAAACTCTAAATTAAAAAATAGAAAAAACTAAGATATTTCTTTTATAAATGATAAAATAGGAATTCACAAAAAATATAAAAAATTATATAAGGTAATAAAAAAAAGTTAAATAACAACATTAATTTTCAAAATTTAAAATAAAATTAATAAAAATATGAGTAAAAATAAAAATAATCACAAGATAAGAGAGTATAATTCAGACATTATTTACAATCAATTTTAATCCTAAAATATTTACGTGACAAACTGTGAAGGAGAGTGATTATACTTACTTTTTAAATAATATATTCTTATTTATAATATAGAGATCGATTACTATAAAAATAAAATTTGTTCTAATCATATATATCTTTATATTATAGAAGGAAATAATAATCACCTTAAAATAAGTTCTTAAGATAAATCAAGAATTAGTAAAAGGTTTATTTTAGTCAAGTTTGTGAATTATAACATGATATTTTTTGGATTTTAAATTTATTTTATTTTAATTAATTAATTTCCTTAAACATATTTTTCTTAATTTTTTTTGTATTTTTTTTTATTTTATA